GCAGTTGTGAAACTGTGTTTTTCGACATTAACAGAATATCGACAAAGTTTTGCGAACATTTGTAATGGAAACACAGCTTCAGACGTTAAAGTAGAACTCGTTCTGCAAACTACAGGATATTTTTTTGAATTTTCAGTAAATTCAGCCTAATGTTCCTAAACTTAGTAAGACATGTCCATATGCAAAAAACAGGAGTTAGAGACATAATTTTATTATTTGACATGAAATTTAAGAAAAAACATTTTGTGATTTGATTTAATTCACTCTATAAATCCATCATTGACACATCTCAGTGCGTATTTTTTCACAGCCTTTAATTCATCAAATGACCCATAAATCTGAGCAGAATTTCTTATTTTTGTCACTTTAGCACCACTTCAGTACATGTGTTTGTGATAAAACGGTTTAAAAAGTGCAGCAGAGTTGTGTAACCTTCTGTTTTATGATCCGCACTTCTTCTTGTTCTTTTTATTTTTTTAATTTCTCTGCCTCCTGACAGTCATGTGAGTCATTCATGAGTTTATTAAAGCTAAAGGCAAGTTCTCCTTCAATCATTAACTGCCTCCAAACCCACATGAAGCAATATAACAGAATGTAGCGTCATATAAATACATGTTAGTGTCCTGAAATAGAGCCGGGTCCCCGAGCTTTGCTAGTTGGAAAAGTCTGACCACAGATCCACCAGCAGGTCGGATCCTTCGGCTCCTAACAAGCTGAAAGCTGCAGAACAAAAAGCAGCTGAATGTTTGCTTCAGGGACAAGGTTCTAATGTTGACGTCAGACTCTTATTTTTCTTCTGAGTCTCATTTATTTTCTTGTGGTTTAAATAACAGGAAGTCCAGATCAAGACTTGTTTTCCTCAGTGATCCGAGTCATTAAACATGAGGATTAGCCATGTCTAGTTTCTTTATTTCTTTATTTCACAGCACAGACTGCAGACCAGAACTACAATAAAGTTAAAACAACAACAACAACAACAACGTCATCTACTGATGATGTTTTGTTAGCTCTATATGCAGTAAAGGAAAGCACTCGCTAACTGGTGACTTGTTGCGGTCTGGTGACTTGTTGGCATCCAGCAGCTTGTTGCAGTCTGTTGACTTGTTGCAGTCTGTTGACTTGTTGCAGTCTGTTGACTTGTTGCAGTCTGTTGACTTGTTGCAGTCTGTTGACTTGTTGCCATCTGGTGACTTGTTACTGTCTGTTGACTTGTTGCGGTCTGGTGACTTGTTGNGTGTGTGTGTGTGTGTGTGTGTGTGTGTGTGTGTGAGGACAGTTGTCGTGCAGCAGGTGCTTGTTGAGGATTTATTTAGAAACGCCTGAAGTTCCCAGTCAGCTGTGAACGCAGCACGAGGCTCAGACCAGGACCAGGACCAGGGTGGGCCCTCACGGACCAGAAGAGTTCTGGACCGACCCGGACCAAGTCTTTATGAGTTTTTAACGAGTCCCTGTTCCTGTTGGACAGGAGCAGCTCATGGACGGACTCTGATCTGCAGCAGCAGAGGTAAAATAAACATTTCATGTTGACCAGTTGATCTGAAGCTGAAATGAGCTAAAAGCTTCCTGCAGGTCCGACCTGACCCAGGTCCACGTGGAACCAGAACCACACACTGGTTCTGACTGAGCTTTGAACACATTCAGTGTAGAAACTTCTTTATATTTATCTGTTAAAAAAGGATTCAAATTCATCTTCAGACTCTTTGTGTTTCTGATTGTAAAGAATCTTTGTTTTGTTTCCAACTTTAGGAGAAACTTATTTTAAATTTATATATAAATCTTTTGTTTTAATCATCTACAACAGGTTTTTAATAATTGAAGCTAATTTTTACTGTTTATTCATTTTTTAAAATTTCCCTGTTGGTTTTTAAAAAAACTAAAAAAATAATAAAACCTGAAATTCTGTGTCTTTAACATCTGATGTGGAAAAAAACCAAAACATTTCAAAAAAACCTTTAATAAAAATCTAGATACTCTTCAAAATAAGAGTCTGACTGTGCTGCAGTTTGAATCAGGACTTTTATTTTATCTCTTCATGTTCTGAGAACCCCTGAGCTCCTCGAGAGAATTTTAAAAAAAGTTTTAACTTTCATTTTCTGAAACTTTACTGGAAACCATGGAGCAACATTCCTCCGATAGTTTGTACATCAACACAAACTACAGTCACACACACACACACACGTGTGTATTTATGGGGGTGTGGGGGAGGGGGGACCAGATGGAGTTTAAATTTAACTGACACCCACTCCTTCCCGGAGCTCTGAACCCCGACAGTGAATCAGTTCAGAACCCAGATCTGATGACCACACCTCCTACCTGTACATCTGACTTATTGTTTGATTTGATTTTGTTCGTAAATAAATAAATAAATAAATAAACTTAAAATGCACCAATCATGACCTCATGTTTTATAATTTAACTGACCTTCATATTTATCTTTACAGCTTAGTTCCAACAAAGGATTTATCTTAGCAGATAGTTTACATTTTTAGTGTTTTAAAAATATATATTTCAAATATATTATAATTATTTTCATTTGTACATGTGTTTGTGTCCTTTAAATGTTTTTAATTGTTTGTTTTTTTTTCATTTCCATGTGTTTTTTACATTTCTTTGTCTCCTGTTTTTACTTTACCTCATGCATTTCTGCCTCATTATGTAAATAAGGTGGGCGGGGCTTCTAGAGTAAGCTCCTCTCCTATTGGTCAACAAACAGGAAGTAGCAGGATCCATGTGCACAGGCTTAATGTGTTTTTATTTATTGGTCTGTTTTTATATTTTTATGTCAGGTTTGGTCCTCCGTACAGAGGCCCTTCAGACCAGGTCTCAGATCAACTCAGTTTGAGGCTGTCTCTTTAGATCCACCTCCATCTGGACATGTTTGTAGTTTGACAGCAGAGGTACAGAACCAGAGTCTGACCCAGAACCGTAGTCTGACCTAGAATCAGACCCAGAACCAAAACCAGAGTCTGACCCAGAACCAGAGTCTGACCTAGAATCTGACCCAGAACCAGAGTCTGACCTAGAATCAGAGTCTGACCTAGAATCAGACCCAGACCCAGAGTCTGACCCAGAACCAGACCCAGAGCCTGACCCAGAACCAGAGCCTGACCCAGAACCAGAACCAGACCCAGGGCCTGACCAAGAATCAGAGTCTGACCCAGAACCAGAGCCTGACCCAGAACCAGAACCAGANTGACTTGTTGCTGTCTGTTGACTTGTTGCTGTCTGGTGACTTGTTGGCGTCCGGCAGCTTGTTGCAGTCTGGTGACTTGTTACTGTCTGCTGACTTGTTGCTGACTTGTTGCTGTCCACCTCTGTCCAGCAGCCTGTTCATTTTCTTGACTCGTGTCTACTTCCTGGTAGCAGAGTGCTGCTGTTCATCTTCCTCAGTCGCTGTGGGAGGAGTGGGGGACACCACAGTCCATGTCAGGGACACACTGAGACAAACTCTTACCCACACCTGGGGACACGTAAACCTCACCAGTGAAGCTAACGTGTCAGGTTCAGGTCTGAGGAGGAAACCTGGAGTGTGGCAGCAGCTCTGCAGCACGGAGGAGGACAGAAACTCCAGTACTGATCGAGAACAAAGGTCCAGATCCAGGACCTGACCTATCAGGACAGGTCCAGTATGACCTGCGTTTATAAGGCCTGAGGGACAGTGAGCTGCATGTCATTCTGAAGACGACTCGTGAAATTTGTTGGACTGCTACGGTTCACCAGGCTTGAGATCCAACAGAGGACTGACTGAATTAGTCTGTTTGTGTCTTTAAATAGACAAAAAAATCAACCAACCTTGACATTTTTGTCTAATTATTTTGATTAGACTGAAGCCGTGTCCTTCTGTCTGCCATCATGACTGCAGTTAAATCAAATAAATGCACATCAGCTTACCGTACGGTTTGTCTGCATGTTTGTGCCTCGCTAACGTGATGCGAGGCGACTGGCTGACGGCAGAACAAACGCTGTCCGAGCAGCGCGGCTGCACCACGTCACACGGGCCCTTCCCACGGTGCGTGTGTGCGTGCGGTCTCTCCCTGCAACAGCAGATAATGAGGAGGAGGAGGACGAAAGCAGGGAAGTGGGGAACGTGGGGGGTTCATATGAAGAGACGAGGGGGCTGCAGAACAACAGACAGACAGATAATCTAAGGATAGAAGTAAAAGATGAAGTTGTAGAAGAAAGGATGAAGAGACGGGAGCAAAGTTCAAACAAACAGGAAAAATTAATTTTCTTTTTCTCTCCAGGAGGATGTGAGGCGATGTGAGAGGGTGAAGACATGAGGGGGCAGTGTGTGAACAATCTGAGGGGGTAAAGAGGGGGGCAGGGCTTTCTGAGTGACAGGAAGTGAAAAAAACCTGTTCGCACTTATTAAACAGCTGCAGGAAGTGACAGAGAGGAGGAGAGCCGGGTTATCAGGGACCAGGAGGAGAGCCGGGTTATCAGGGACCAGGAGGAGAGCCGGGTTATCAGGGACCAGGAGGAGAGCCGGATTATTATAGACCAGGAGCAGAGCTGGGTTATTATAGACCAGGAGGAGAGCCAGATTATTTTAGACCAGGAGGAGAGCCAGATTATTATAGACCAGGAGGAGAGCCAGATTATCATAGGCCAGGAGGAGAGCCAGATTATTATAGACTAGGAGGAGAGCCAGTTTATCATAGGCCAGGAGGAGAGCCAGATTATTATAGACTAGGAGGAGAGCCAGTTTATCATAGGCCAGGAGGAGAGCCAGATTATTATAGACTAGGAGGAGAGCCAGTTTA